CGGAAGATGCTGCCCAAGTCCGCCTCACTAAAAATTAATTCAGGCCAAAGTTGCCGCTCTAATAAAAGATAAACAGTTCGAAGAAAAATGAGTCCTTTGGGAGACTGAACAAACTTTATTTTGCACATTTTTTATGCTGGTTCCGCAGGTGTGTGAAAAACAGTTAAAAGTTAAACGTGCCCAAAAAATCGATGTTGCTTTGTCAGTGCTGAGGATGGGTCAATGCTGTGGGCTGACGTGCCGTTTCGATTGGCTATCACCTTTTCTATTTTTCTTTGGGATTTGTGTGCATGGCGTCCAGATCTATGCACCGATTGATGCATGAGTCATCAGAGTGAATGGCCTCAAGAAATTCCCGGCCTTTCTTATGTGCGCAGGAGCCCACAATGCGTGTTTTATCCCAAGCAAATTTGTGCCCAGTTTCTAGAGTATGCATAGCGACTTGGGATAAGTGGTCCCGCCTCGTCACTGCTAACTGGTGTTCATGTAGGCGTGTGCAGGTGGATTTCCCTGTTCGACCACAATAAACTGCATTACAAGTGCCACATATTTTATAGACCACCTCCTTTTTATCCAAATAGCCAACCCTGTCCTTAGGGTGAACAAGCTGATTGCGTAGCGTAGTCGTCGGCTTGTGAGCCACTTGTATTTGGTGCTTCCTCAGGGTTCACGCTCTTCAACTGTGTGAGAAATGTTCCTGGAAATGCGGAAGGTTTTATAAGGGCTTAGAGTATACAAAAATAACCGTATAAACATATAGTTTTTACACCGTGGACTTTTGCCTTTCACGGGGGTTCTGGAATATAACCTCCGCCATCTAGGAGGGATCACTGTAGCAGACATGCACCAATACCTCGACTAGTTGACATCATACCTGGGTTGTTTACCCGTGATCGGGCGAAAAACAGGACCAAGACAGCTAAACATCTCCGAAAAAATGAATAAAAAACCCCAGGAAAATTAATGAGTGCGAAAAGCAGACTATTTACCTCTCCAAAACAGCGATTATAGTACAAATGGAAGAGATATTAGTTGGGCTTCGTCTCGTAGTGCATAGGTGCGGCCATGTATGCACAAACAACAGAATGCTGGTGCTGCCAGTGGTCAGGTAAAAATCACGTTTTTGATTCTGGCTGTGCGTCTGCCCTAGTTGTTATGTGTGGTTCCAGCTTGGAGGTGAAATCAAAACCGCCTTAGTTAATCCCAACTAACTGGTAAGACAGGTTCTAGACTTTTATCCTAGACAGGAGGATCAAAGTCGGCCAAGGGATTCTTCCCCCGTACAGAAATTCACTAAACTATGCGAATGTGTCGTTTAGCCACTACTAAAGCTTTAGCATTTACCGCTGAACTTCCCAGACATTTTGTCGCATAGACTAGCAGATGTGAGGAAGCTAAATGACCGTACAGAATAAGGTAACTCCCAGCCGAAAATAGTGCCAGGAATAACTAGAGTATGTTATAAAGGTACATTGGAGAAAAATTGTGGATTAACGCGGTAAGAAACCGTTGCTGCTAGACGACCTACATCTATCTCCTCTGAGTTCTGGGAAACTGCGTGGTGACTTTTAGAAGCCTCCATGTTGTGAACTAGCTGCATTTAATCTTCGTGGGGTCACTTTCAGCTTGTTACTGTGATAGATCTCTGCAGACATGCCTTTTGCCCCGTGTATACCTAGAAAAGCGACAGATGAGGACGTATTTTTTCCCTCTAAGCGAATGGTGGAACATAGGAAATGTCTGCCTTCGGTGATTGTAGTGTATCCGTTTGTGGACGCTCTCTAAACATGACGCGTGCTGCCACACCAAATGACCAATTTTACTGCGTGGACTGCACATATTATTACTTGTGCGAGATGACATACACGCCCATTCTCCCTCAGATACACCGAACTGAACTGATCGAAAAGGTAGTTGACTGTCGCTCAATGATTAGCTGAATATGGTCGACGCCACAAAACGTTATTGGATAAGTTTGTCAATTTATCCCGGGTACTTCATGCTGGGTGGGGTCAAGCACTGTCGCACAACAGATTCAATCATCATCTGCTCACTTGTTCTGACAATTTGATGACTAACTTTAATGCACATATTCCATTTGTGGAGAGTAAAATTCCATCGTGTTTGTTTTACCAGGGTGCAAAGAAAGGGCAGTGTCAAAAGAAGAAGGGGCGTTCGCCGGGAGGGGTTTATTGCAGGTCTGACGTTTCGAGTAGTTAATTCGTCTACAGAAAATCGACTAACACGCCGAAAATGCTCAGCTACAACAGCACCCACCCGCTATAACACAACCGAAGCTGTGTCCTCACACCATACCGACGGGTGGAAACTCATTGTAGCACGCCAGCTGTCAAACTGGACGAGATAAAGCTCCTCCTAGAGGTCTTCAGAGCCAACGGCTATCCGCGCGCATTCACTGAACGGAGCCCAAGGCAACCAAAAAAACGGAATGGAGAGCATAGTCAGTCAAACTCGTGGCGGAGCATTCCTACATTAAAGGGGTCTCCGAAGCCGTGGCTAGATCCCTCGCGTCACTCGGAATAGGTGTTGCCCACAGGCCTGACTCAACAATCCGCCGGCAAGTGATATGGCCAAAAGATCAGATCCCTAAGCAGGAGATGTCGGCCGTTGTCTATCGACTTCAATGCAGTTGCGGAAGGCGCAACTGCGTTGGGGAAACCGGCCGACGGCTGTAAACGCGAATGCACGAGCATGAGTTGGCCGTGAGAAGGTTGGACTCAAAGTTGGAGGTAGCAACCCATGCCGCTCAAATGGGACACATCTTCAACTTTGACGCCGTTAAGATTGTGGGCCAGGGCGATGATCATGCAGCAAGGTGGGTGCATGAAGCCTGGATGTCCACCGACTGCTCTGTCAACCACCACAACCATTTGCCTTCCCCCTGTCTGACTTTACGAACCTTCCTAAAGGGGGACAGTCACGGCGCGGGACAATCGGGCCGTCAGTCATCTCCGCGGCCGAACGGGGGCGATTCAGTTCACGGTGACACGCGGGTTGGATGTAGCCACAGGGGCGGCATTGGCAGGTCACGCATTGAACAAAATGCGCCATATAAGGGGAGCTGTGCGCAGGATTTTCCAGTCTCTGAAGATGGGTAGACGAATCAACTACTCGAAACGTCGGACCTTCAATAAACCCCTCCCGGTGAAAGCCTCTTCTTCTTTTGATATACCGCCTGGGAATCACATTTTCACTACTATTAAAGGACAGTGCATAATTTCATTTACAGACCAGCCTGGCATCTGTAATGCCTTCCCTTGGTGTTTTGTTGCTCTGTCAGCATACACAGACTGTCTAGACAGTTCCCGATTATCGAGGAGGGAAGCATTTCTGTCGCAGGTTATGACTAACCATAAGGACAGGTCTTTTATAGTTCCTAAAGTCCGCGGCCAGCGCACCTCCATAAGCTGCGGTTTCTGTAAATGCGCTAAGTAGCCTTCCTTTGCAAATGGCGGTCAGCGCAGGCGTGTGCGATCACGACTCTGAAACAGCGGCACTGATATGGGTAGACAAAGGGCTGGCATGACCCAATCAAAATTATTGATAGTACTGTTTCGATATTAGAACGGAATAAAAGTTGGACAGGAAATTTCAATGAAAGCAGGCGAGGAAACACAAGCCAACTCGAATGCCACTTCAGGTGAGGTTGTCGAAGTGTAGGATAAGTCGATAGCACGAAGGTTCTCTAATCACGAACCGGGGAAGGACTGATAGGTTGGCGAAAGGGAGTGTACAGCCGGCTGAGCAAGCAGTTGCATCAAGTCGTCTCGCCGGACAGTTGTATATTTGTTAGTCCCCGGCGCGTGCGCTTATGAGCGTCATGACTCTGACCGCCCGAGCCAATCAGCGAAGGACGCAACATCTGTTGGTCTCACCACGCAAGTGCCAGATCGTACGCGACTCGAGCAGCGAACTGACAGGGAGTGTAAGGAGGACATAAAAGCGGCATAAGCTAGTGTTCCGGACGGCGATCGCTGGCGAAGACGACCAAAAGGTCTTCAATATAGTAATAAACTCTGTGACATTCACTACTACTACTACTACTACTACTACTACTACTACTACTACTACTACTACTACTACTACTACTACTACTACTACTACTACTACTACTACTACTACTACTACTACTACTACTACTACTACTACTACTACTACTACTACTACTACTACTACTACTACTACTAATACTACTACTATTATTATTATTATTACTACTAATATGACTACTACAAATACTACCACAAATACTACTACTACTACTATTATTATTATTATTACTACTACTACTACTACTACTAATATGACTACTACAAATACTACCACAAATACTACTACTACTACTACTACTACTATTATTATTATTATTACTACTACTACTACTACTACTAATATGACTACTACAAATACTACCACAAATACTACTACTACTACTACTACTACTACTACTACTACTGCTACTGTTACTACTAATAATACTGCAACTACTACTAATACTGCTACTGCTACTACCACCACCACCACCACCATCGTCGTCGTCGTCGTCGTCGTCGTCGTCGTCGTCATCATCATCATCATCATCACCACCATCATGCTCATGGGCGTCATGTTAGTTGTCGCTCACCTTATTTCTCGCGTTCGGACTATCAGCGTTGTGCGTTCGACCCTACATGATTGCAGGTCCACGCTTCAGCGTCCGGAGGCATAGCGGGCAGACGATTATAGTAAACGGTGGTGTGGTATTGTTTCTGCATGTCAGCTCACGCTCGCTGCCCGTCTTCGTTGACGCCACGGCATGTCGGGGTCGAGTTAAATCATCGCTTCCTGTCGTGATCGTGTTACCCCAACGCGAGCCTGTTTACACCAGCGAGAGCGCGTTTGCACAACAAGAATTTGTGTTTAAAATTATCAGGTTGAAACACACACAGAATGTGTGTGTGCGCGAGGGTAGTGCGTGAACCGGTTAGTTTTTGGAATGACCGGAGAGAGTGGCGGTTTTTCGAGCGGGTTTACATCGGTCTCTAAAAGCCAAATATCAGAAGGAGACAGTTATGACAGATGGACGCTCACCGATCAGGTTACGGAGCTTGCTGGTTCCGTTGTGCCTTGAGGTTCATACTAGAACCCTCGCAGGCAGTCGCACAACAATTAGTGTTGGATGTAAATGAGGTGGTACCGACAAAGACAAGGCAAATCGGAATAGCCGTTTCCGGCTTGTTAGCTGTCATCAGCCAGTCATACCCAACCCCAAGTGCGGATCACTTGAGATTTGAATCCGGGATCTTTGATCGTGGAGTTTAACACTACCATTGACAGTTTTATCAAAAGGCTAGACTTGCACATATAAAAAGTTACCATATATCCAATTCACTAGGGTCTAAATTCCCGATTTTTGGTCAGAACGGGCAGTTTTTGCTCATTTCAACTGCACCTATCCTCCTCATACTGGGTTACAGGGCAACCCTGATGTCAGGTCGCTGAATGCAGACGTGTCTGGCTAAGACTGTCTGGATCTGAATTAGGCAGATCAGTCTTGCCAGCAACTGCGTTCACTCCTAGCTCGGACAGTCGACTAGTGCATTGGAGATAGTGAAGAGAGAGATTGAGACCGGCACTGGGGGATCCATCTTCATGGCACATCAGCACTTCATTCACTATAATTAACGTGACGTGGCTGAGTTTATCATGAGACGTTCTTCGTCGAGGTTGCCAACTGACGGGCGAGTCAGGTTGCAATGGTTCTTTCTTAAGGCGGCCCTTTTGGCATTCATAACTGTGTGAGATCTGAGCTATCTTTATAGCAGTTTGGTGCACGAAGCGTGGGCCGGCCCGTGTGTGGCACGTGTAGACGGATCGTTTAGCTTTGTCAGACACTGTGTCCGTACCAATCCCCGGTCCTTTTGGCACAGTTTAATCGCCGGAACAAGGTGGTTGGGAGACGGGATGGTGCGATAGGTGCTACGCAAGCCCGCCTCCCTATAAAATAATTTGTGGGCAAGTTACCGCCTCTAAGTCCACTCCGTGGGCACGCGGTAGACGTCGTCGCTTGCGATGGTCGAACCGTTAGATAAGAAGTGCGTGCTGGCAATATGGGTAAGTTGGGTTGGTCTAGCCCATGACCCCGCAATTCCTCTGCTCTCCTCCCAAGGTGGAGTCTCGTAGGGCATTCGCAGGTGTCTCACCAATCATATTCAGCCCCGGAGCTTTCTCTGAGAGTTTGAGCAAGTGTGAAATGCGGTAGATAAGCTTGGCGTGATGACCCCGTGTCTACCTGTCTTGTCTTATTGATTAACCGGTCTACCGGCTCCGAAAGCATGTCATTCAGGAGGTCTGGTGGGCTTGAGGGCTGTAGAGTCCCTGATGTACTCTGTTATCATCATCTTCCTTGACCCCGGTATCTGGTGAGCCTCAGTGTGACATGCTGGTGTGGCAGCTACTGCTGCATCGACCTCGCGTCAATTTTGGTACTGCAGACATCTTCAGAATGTCGGTTAGCTTCATTGTTTGCCCTGAGCAAATAATTTTCGGGATACTGTAGTACAGTTCAGACGGGAGTGGTCTGAGTGCTCTCGCCTGATGCTAGTAGACACTTCGCGTCTGGAGCTGACGACACGACGAGCGTTCGTAGCACTGGTGTTTTGTTGAAACGGATGCCCCTCCGCATTTCAGCTAACAAACGGAGACAGCAGTTCGTCTCACCAGGCGAGTGATCACCGCTGGGGTTGTTAGCTCAGGCGCAAAGTGTGTGCGTGCGCCTGAGCTTTGTCCATTTGCAACCAATCAGGGGCGCAAACAGCGTCAACTGGGCTCAAGCTAGTGTCAAGTTACAGGGGGCGCTGGGCGAACAGAAGGCGCCATGGGTGGGCTTGTTGAATGGTTGGAGAGCTCGGTAAAGGGCTCCACTTAACCACCGGTGGACTGTGGATCGCGTCATATGGGGTTTTATCTCAGCATCCATGTGCAGGCCGTTGCAGGCACTAAAATGCTAACAACAACTTTCCATGACCTCAAGCTCTTTTATTTCTCGGAGATTTGCTTCCTGTTTATTTTTTTCAATTAACGCGCTCATTTTCGCTGCCATACGAAAGCATAAAATAGGACATTCGGCTGAAATCCAAACAATTTCTGTGTTTTCTTGCATTTTGTCAGTTTACTGTCCGGCGTGTCCCACCTGCAAAACCCCCATTACCACCACTTTCGTATGATACGACCCACAGTCTACCGACACCCTATCGTCGCCGGCAGCGCCACCTCAATTGACCATATTATGCATATTGTCCGTCATTCAGAGCAGAAGATCTCAAGGCCTATTTATACTCTATAAACTTCATCGTACTGAGCCTGCTTTTAGCGCAAAATGTCATCAGACAGTCACTTGTGAGCCTCATCCGTACATAAACGCGTATATCAACGAACGCCTGCTTTACGCGTCCGGATAGCGGGAGATCTATTATTCACGGAAAAAAATAACGTCTACAGGATCAAAAAAGTGGGACCTAAAGTAACCGACTACTACTACCACTACTACTACTACTACTACTACTACTACTACTACTACTACTACTACTACTACTACTACTACTACTACTACTACTACTACTACTACTACTACTACTAGCAGCAGCAGCAATACTTATAGTGATTATTATGGTAAGGACTATCATAGTGATGGCAAAGCCAGCAGTCGGTATTATTACTGTTATTACTGCCAGGACCGCCAGCAGTAGTATTACTAGTACTGTTGCCGTCTTTAAAGCCGCCGGGACAAATGCATGTACTCTTCCTGTTATTACTATTATCAGTATGAATGGACGCCTAGTGTTGACAAAAACTCTCCTCCCAGTGATTGCAGTCCTCCAACTAGTGCTCGTCCGCCTTTTGACTTTTCTAAATAAGCCTATAGTTCACAACCATTTGTACTTGCCAAGCACATGATCAAAAGGAGCATCACAGATGTTCCCGGTCTGCGGAGCACACTTTTTTAGAGCTTACGTCCCCCAAAGACCCGACAGACCTTTTATCTAACACAGTTTAGTTTTCATCCGGTTGTCGCCCCCGCCTCCCACCCCCCGACATCAAAGTACATACGTATAAACACGCGTCGGTTGCATGCCCTGAGACCAGATTGGGCGTGAAAGCGTACACACACGCTCACAAGCGTAAAAAAGTCGCGCCGGAAGCGCTAGAAGTGTATACCTGGCGTAAATTGCCCCGCGAGGCGTGGGCGAATGACAAAGGTGCAGCACTGGGGCGCTGGCAAGGCAGGCTTACGCAACCGACCGCCCAATTCGTGCCGCGCGCGCGTGCGTTCGTGCGTGTGCGCCACGTATGACGTGTGACCTTGAGATCTGTCCGTGTCAGGCTCACTGCCACAGGGGCGCGATTTTGGAACAAAAAGGAGGCGGGCAGCTCGAGCAGAAGAGAGAAACAGCGAGAGAGAGTGAGTACGGCTTACAGGCGGCGCAAATACCTGCTAACCCTGATCGCGAGGGTAGGGGGGGGGGGGTGGGCCAAATTAGGGCAGGTAAGGTGTGAAATGGAGGGAGGTAGGATACCCGCCGATACGCCCTCAGACTCCCTGTGCGCACTTTACAGGGTACGGAAGTTTAAACTTTAATCACTTCAGATGTACATAAGCCACACGCAGACTGCAAATGACATATAAAAGCACAGCGCTTTGATGCTGTTATGTGTCAGCAGTGTCATTTTAAATCAATTACGCTGCATTTCTTATGAGACCTTTCGGCTGACTGGAATTGCTGACGGAAGGATAAAAAGTTAGCCACGGATTATGGCTAGCCCACTTGAGTCAGACAACAGCCATGAGAAGACGACTGACTGCAAACGAAAGGAACGGCACATTCTTAAGGAAAACAATTCTCAGCTGGAAAACAAAACTTTGGGCAATTTGATCTGGGAAGAAAGAAGCACCGTCCGGTAGACCAGTAGTTAGTGGAGAGCATGTTAACATAGTCCAAATTTCGTTTCAAAAGAGTTCTGACATGTTGAAGAGGTGGACGCCTGTTGAGTGAGAGGGAGTGTGCAGAACTCGGAGGGAGGAACGGCACGAACATGCTTCCAATATCAAGGTAGAAGACTTGAAGAAGACAGCGGTCAGATGTTGTTGTGTAGCCGCATCTGAGGCAAACAAGCCCCAGCAGCCTGTAATACGGGACCGGTCGTGAGAG